CAAATAGTGGGAAACTGAATAAAATCAAGCCCCATAAAAAGACACTAAGCATGTCTCTTTTCTCTTACCTACTCCCAATGCCTCATCCATGGTGCCTTCACTTACCAGCTCATGTTATCTCCCTGGTATCCATCTCCACTCTGTATTACTTTCCTGAGCTTCAGCTTTATATAGACAGATTTCTACCTCTACTCAAGAGGTACCCCTTCGAATGCAGGACCACCCTGTTCACCAGGGGTAAAACCTTTATCTCACTTAATTGCTTGAGGCAGAGCCCAGGTATCCCCAGAGCTCATCCAACCTCTGAGGATTCTATCTCTCTATGATCTCTCATTACCATTATTATCATAGCCTATGGATAGTACTGACTAGTTTTTCACTGTTAATTTATAGTCTTAGGCGGATTCTACCACAATTAAATCTATAAAATTAATCTATAAAATAAATTTTAATTTTGTAAATCTATAAAATGGAACAAGTTAAATTCATTTAAGTGTATAAATTTGAATGTAACACACTGGTAGAAAAAACACACCTTGTAGTTTTCAAATCTCAACTGTTTTAAAAAGAGCCAGATATAGTTGAAGAGAGAGTTGTATTTGTTAGATGCAAATAATATATGATAAAGTTCATATGTAAAGTGCTTAAAATTAGTATTCAGCTGAAAAAATAGTCAAATGTGTAGTGAGAGGCAAATCACATATAAAAAGAGAAAGACAATGTTAATAAATTCAGGGAAAATGTTCAGACTTTCTAGTACTAAGAAAAGGAAAGAAAATAACAAATGGATTAGTTACTCTTAACAAACTGCACAGATTTAAAAAAAAAAAAGAAAACAGGCAGTGTTGACTCCATGAAACCTAAACTGGACATTAGGTTTTTTTTTTTTTTCTTAAAGATTTATTTATTATGCATACAAGAACTGGGGCGTGGGCCAGAGATGCCAGGTGTGAGATGATTGACCAGAGACAGAGTAGGGAGCAGAACAGGTGGATCTACTGACATACACTGCTGAGGGGAGCAGCGGATGAGACAGGAGAGGTCTGTGTGCCATGTGAGTTTGTTCCTTGGCCAGGGATTGAACTCATGCTGCAGAGGCTGGCCTAGCTTGATCGCACTGAGATTTTAACCCCTGTGCCACCAGGGACATCAGTTTTTCTCGTGAATCATTTAACAATATACATTAAAAATCTAAATAAATTTACATGTATTTAATAAATGTTTAATAAATCTATTTCTAGAAAGGTATCCTATGTAAAAGTCCCTTTATATACAAAAAAACATTTGTAATGTGTTTTTGAAGATTTATTTTTAAGAATTGCATTCAAATTTGATTGGGTTTGTCTTTCATTATTGATTCACTTGGATTTTGTTACATTTATCAATCATATTTATAGAAGACTGTCACAGATACGTAATATTGGATTCTTATTAGGCAACATAAAATTCTTCTGCATTTATTCATATTCATATCTTGTTATAGGTAGCACAGTGGATCCTGTACAGTTTTTTTTTCAAAGGTTTACCTCTCCATAGTTTACACTTTAGTTGGATGCTGTGAATTGTGTTTGTTTTTATATTTACACTTTAGGAAATTCACTGATTTTTTGTTCAAAAAACAATGTGCCATTTTTTTGTTTTCAATTTTAAAAGTTACATTTATTGATTGACTTGACTTTTCCAGATAATCATACAGTCATTTATAAATAACTCTTGCTCGATTTTTTTTACCTAATTATTTTTATGTAAAAATTCCAGTAGCTATTTAATATATGTTAAGGAAGTAGTCTTCACATTTGGTTATGGCAAGAATGGACACTAAATTTTATTGTATGAATTTTTAGTACTTACTGAGATAATATATGTCTTTCTCTTTCTGGAAAATCAAGATGATAAAAAGACATTAATTTCAAAGTAATCAATTATGCTTGTCTTTTGAGGTTAAATCTACTTCTTGGGTGATATTTTTCTTATTATATGCATCTTAATTTGATTTCCTAAATATATTATTAAGGATTTGATACTAGGGTATTGCTAACCTTATAAAAATTGAGTAACTTAAAGACCTCTGAAACCATGAAGAGTTTATGTAGCACAGGTTGTGTTATTTAGTGTTTGGTGAATATGAAATCATTTCTTTCCATGAAAACATTTAGGCCTAATGACTTTAGGAGATATTTCTTTATAATTTCTTAAATTCTTATATATTTATTAGGTTTCTTTAGACTTCCCCTCTTCTTGAGTTAGTTGTAGTCATATATATTTTCCAGAAAACTGTATTAATAATCACATAGGTAATTGTGCTTCATATTTTGTTGAAGTCTATTTTAATATTTGTTTCTCTGATTATAGTTAATACCAGTAGGTTGTTTTTTATCTTTATATCTTAATTAGTTTTGCCAACAGTTTGTTGGTCTTTATAAGAACCACCTTATTATGGATTTATACATTCATTTTACTTTTTTATTTCAATTTTGCATTTCATTAATTTTGTTTTGTTAACTTAAGAATTCCTTCCTCTTGTTTTTCTTATGGTTATCTTATTCTTGTTCTTTTATCATTATTTGATGTTTAGTTGATTTTTGTTCATACTTCTTAATAATAAAAACAAAGGTTTGAATTTTCCTTAGAGCAACTTCATTCCCATATATTTTGATGTGTGGTGGTGTATTATTAATAGTCTATGATTAGATTTTGATTTATTCTTGGGTTTTACATTTATTTATGAGAAGCTTTTCTTAGTTTCTCAGTTATCTAATATTTGTCCTCTTGTGTTGATTTCAAATTTTATTACACAGTGCTCAGAGTTATCAGGCTATAAAAACAGTTTTACATTTTTACAATTCAGTTTTCTTTTCTAAATAAAAGATGATTAGTTTCTCAAAAAAATCATGATCTTGGAAAATATATTTTATCTATCAAGTGCTATGGACTGAATTGCGTTAACCCCCTCCCCCATTCATATTTTGAAGCACTAACCCTTAAAGTGATAGTTTTAGAGATGGAGCCTTAGAGAGAGCTAGTTTTAGATGAGATCTTGAGGGTAGGGCCCTCATGGTGAGATTAGTGTCCTTGTAGGAAGAGACAGCAAAGAGATATTTCTCTCTCTCTCTCTCTCTCTCTCTCTTGCTCTCTCTCTCTGTCTCTCTGTGTCTCTCTGTTCTTTCTGTCACTCTCTCTCTCTCTGTCTCCATTCCCCTCTCTGTCTCTGAAGCATCCCGATCAGCCAGCACATTGATCTTGGAGTTCCTAGCCTCCAAAACTATAAGAATGTTTATTTTGATTATTTAAGCCAGCAAGTGTGTAGCATTTTGTTGTGGCAGCCTGAACAGACTAAGACTTCACATTTATTGATTAAATTTATTTTTTTGCATTATAAGATTCCTATTTTTACTTTATCTGCAAATATAATGTGTATTTTTAAATTCCTATATTTTGAAAATACCATTCAAGGAAAGTGAAGTAGAGAGAAACAGAAATCTAGAATACTGAAAGATTTGTAGTCAAGATGACTTTAAAAACTTCCCCCAAAGTTCAGTTGTAAACTGGAAGTATTCCTGGACTAGTTTGAGTTAGACAGCTAAAATATAATTGAACTACATGTTTTCTATTAACAAGTATTAATATAGCCTGCATGGGAAGGTGACTTGAATTAAGATTCTGAAGATGCTTGCTTGTTGATAAACAACAAGAGAGTCTCCAGATGACAGTGTCCATGGGGAAATGGAAATGTGTATAAAGTTAGGGATTTTAGAGGCTCTTAGAAGACCCAGGTAGGCTCATCTAGATTAGAAAAACTGGGATAATGGGTTCATCAGCATGATAGGAGAGAAAAGGAAAACATTAAAGGTAGTTGGATAACCATAAGCTTAAAATCTATATATATAACAGATATTCATAAGAATGTCAAAGAACTGTCGGTAAACATACTGAGTTAGAGTAAACAATAGCATCCATTTTTTTGTTTTCCCTCTCTTTTTCTCCAAAAAGAATCATTCATCACACTAAATAGTTTTTTGCAATTGCCATAGCCTTACTAGCATAATTTTATTTTGTATGCCCCATACTAACTATTGCTCATGTATGTCTGAACTGGATTATATAATTGTTTTGTATAGTGAAGACTACAGTTTTAACTGGAAGCTGGTAATATGGGAAGGACCAAGAATGAAATGGGCTTTGTTTTTCTGGTAATCAAAGAGTCTGGAAGAAATAGCTCAACTTTGGAATAAGGAGGGGATGTGTCAATATGGTTATTTAAAAAATTAATGACAGGACAAGATCACCCAGTATGAAATAGTAAAGACTTAAAACTAAATGTGTCTAACTGAGTGATGTACAGCTATGGGCCTGAACTTATCTTGCCATATATAGTTTGTACCCTGGGATTCTCTAGCACTTGAAGAAAATGAAAACTTTCCAGTGTCTTACAACCTGTGCCAAATTGTGGAAATATATGTGATGGAAGGGCAAGTGCAATAAAAGTATAGCAGGAAAAGAATGTGTTCACCTCAGGGATAACCACAAAGCATCCCATGTTAATTATGATAATTATGAATTATATTTTTGCATTTAAAAGTTTATCACAAAGGTTCTAAACTAAATTTGCATCTCCTATTAATTCAGTGATCAACTGATAAATTTAACAAACGTTTATGTGCCAACACTGTACTAGACATTGGAGAAATAGAGTAGGATAAAATATGTTCTCCTTCTTCAGAACTGGCAGTGGAGTAGCAACACAATTACACTAAATGTGATCAAGTTTGGAAACACATAATTATAATATAGTGTGGTCAGGTTTGCAGAGAGAGTGGGAGGCCACACAGCTAGCTAGATAAAGACATGAATTCTGGCATGATAAAGACTAAAATTCTGATTTCTTGATTCTTAGCCAACTATTTCTACTGCTGCAATATTTTTTTTGTCACAAAATATTAAATGTGAACAAATGAAAATAAATGCAGTTTCATCATAGATTTATTTGAAAATCACCAAACCTGGACGCAGCTGGATCAGCACTTCTGCTGGTGTCACCTGGGTGTTAATTTCATTTTCACTTGGTATTACACGCACAGATGGATATTCTATTGAATCAGTTGAGCAGCCTTTGCTTATTAAATTGGAAATAATATCACAACGTTCACTGCTTGATCCACCTGAAATGAAATCCTGTTTAAAAGAAGGAAAATCACTGATATTTTTAGTACATATCATCTCAGTTCTAACCAAAGAAAACCACATGACAAATACTACAAAGGAGCCATCCCCTAATATTGCACAAATTATGCTACTATTCCAAAAGCTGCATGTTTCCAATAAGAATATTGGCATATTTGTCTTATGTAAAGCTTATATTTCTAAATCTTTTGTAAAGAAGAAAATGAATATTAAAGAGGAAAGTTAAGCCAAGTTCTTTATTTTTTTTTTAAGCCAAATACTTTAAATATTGTTAACTGGTCATTGTAAAATTATAGCAGTTTAATTCTTTCTAAATATTTTACTTTGGAAAGACTGCTCCCAAAGAAAATTTTGCCAACATAGACCATTCACTGGTTCCAAATAGAAGTCTCAGTTCTCAAAGGACCCCATCGGTATGTTTATTATATACTATTATGTTTGGAATATGAGCGCAAATCCTTAGAAGTCACATGCCTACTTAAATACTTTAAATTCATAAAAGAATGATGAATTGGAAACCTATATTCTTAGACTATAAAATCCAATTTTTATATATACAACAGGCTGCAAATAATTCAGTAAGCCAAAGAAGATGCTCATAAGGAGGTTGAGATTTAATACTGCAGTTCAAATTCTCCTGATTTTATGATTGAATCTACAACTTTAATTACCACTGAGCAATGGCTAGTTGATGGTTATCCAATAGCCATCCAGTAAACTTGGAATTAGTGGAGCAAGCATAAGTTTAATTTACAACTGAAAAAATAATGATGTTTTTAGTTTTCATGTAACCATTGAGTTTTTTCCCTAAGATCAGGAAATGCATTAAAACGTATAGAAATATGTTATGTAATATGTAGTATTGGCCTGAATTATTTGGGATATTTATTTACATATTAGCTGGATATTTACTCATTTATCTTCCTGGAAGTGGTTATTTTGATCTGGTATTCAGCCATAACTCCTTTAGTTCAACTGATTCATAGAACTGCATTATAATCAGTCATTAAAAGAATGTTGATTAAATACTCAGGGACAATTGTTTGTTAAGTGCTGAGGATATTGAATGGAATGAGACAGAGTCCCTGCCATCATAAAGACAGCAGATTATCAGTGAGTTCAGTTAGTCATTAAGTAAGTAAATGTAACTAAAGGAAGATGAATTAAAATGTGATTTTCGGGCCTCCCCGGTGGCGCAGCGGTTGAGCGCTGGGTTGCGAAGCTGCCCGCAGCCTCTGCAGCGCCGGTTCGATCCCTGGCTGCTCCCCGGCCACCTGAGGAGGGTCCCACATGGCTTGCAGACCTCTCCTGCCGCCCGCTGCTCCCCTCAGCAGTGTACTTCGGTCCTTCTGCCTGCTCTGCTCCCTGCTCTGGCTCTGGTGAATTCTCTAACCCTCCTGCGCTTCTGACTGTACCCAGTGCTTGTATAAATAAATAAATAAATCTTTAAAAAAATGTGATTTTCATTAGGTTTTGGGGATTGGCATTAGACTTAGGGGAAGCACAGAATGCCATTAGCTTATGGTGACTGGAGGTTATCAAGTCTTGCATTAGTTGGCTATGAGAGTAGGGACATTGCCACTAACACTGGTGAGTAATTAGATGATTGGTGGTAGGCCATAGGAAAACATTCAAAGAAGCATTTTCATTTAATTCTTTTTTCAGTTTAGAATAGTGGTTGGGAAACGAGAGGGCATGAGACAAATGCTGCTAGCCCATGGTCTGTTTTGTGTGATTTGAATCTTAAAAATGCTTTGCACATTTTTAAAGGATTATAAAACAATACAAAAGATGAATGTATGACAGTGACAGTGTGTGGCCCACAAAGCCTAAAGTCATACTCTATAGTCCTTTACAGTACTGACCCTGAATTCGAATGTGGATCCTACTTGTAATATAACTGTAGTTAAAAGATAAAGTCCTTTCCAATCAACAATTTCAGGTGTCTTTTGCTAAATAACCTCATGTGAAGTGGAAAATTGCGTTTAATTTGCCATTGACCATATACCTATATTTTAGCCAGAACTTTTAAAATGTTCAAAGCCTTAATTTCTTATACCAAAATTTATTTATTGATAAAATTTGGAGGTATTGAACTTAAGATGTAGTTTATGAATGACTTGGGGTTCCTCAGAGAAAAGGGACAGACAACTATTATATGTGTCACTTTTCTTCAGAAAGCTTCAGTCTAGGTGGAGGCATCCCACTGGTCCTGGAGCCACATGTGGTAGGCCCAGATGAAGGGCTCATTCATTTTACAAATATAAAAACCCCAACATGCCACATCAGGAGAGAAAATGAAGTACAAACTCTGATTTTCCTCTTTCTGTCTGGGATTTTGTGATTTGAATGTACAGAAGGGAGTGTGGTTAAATCATTGCAACTATACATCAAGCCATGCCATTTGACCTTTAAATGTCAAATCTTTTTTGCTGAAATAAGCTTCTGTCTCAATTATTTTGCAATGTCTGAATCAGCATGGCTGTTTTTACTCCAGTGTAAAAACTAAGTTATAAAAACATTGCCAATTTGACAATTAGGTTTGAAAAGGGAAGAAAAAGACCGTGGCATCAAAATAAAGAATGGAATGCTACCCCTACCCACTGTGGCCTACTTTCCACTTTGTAGAAAAGGAAAGAATTTGAAACCACACCCTTTTAATTTTTGATGTTTAGTGTCATTGTAATTTCTCCTAATTCTTTTGTTTCACTTTTTCTACAAGAAATATGTGAAAAAAATCAGACTTTTACTATCTGCATCTAAAACCCATTTGAAAGTCAGAAGGAGAGAAATGGATACCAGATGGTGTCACATGTAAGTATAGAGAAACTAAACAAAGGGACAGATAAATTAAAAAATTTACCCTGGAAAACTGATTATAGAATCCAGAAATCCAGAGGGGGAAAGGTAGAAGAGGAGTGAGAATAAAGTTGGGAGGGAGCACACTAGATTAAGGTGGTGGGCTATGATGCTTTGGTGGAGGGTGCATGATGGTAATAATACTTGAAGGGGAGGGAGATTCTATACTCCTAAATACAAACAATGATGTAAACCAACTTTACCTCAATGAAAATGAATGAATGAATGAAACAAACAAACCTATTTGAGAATGAAAGCCTGGCTTGAAGTTACCTGGTTGGTTTTTCATCAGCTTTTACTTTCGCCCATTTAATATAATAATCTGGGGATATAAATTTTAGAAAGTTTTACTACTTATTTTTGAGTTTTCCTGACTATCAGTCTGCACAGAAATGAAATAATTCTTTCACCTTTTGACAGTGAATGCCCTTTACATAGTATTTCAGTATAATTATGTTCCAAGGTTGTCCCCTAAACTTTTTGCTATGCAATCAACATCCTGTATCTACCAAACCAGGCAGGAGATGAGAAATCTTTCAAACATGTCAAATCTTTCACATGTTTAAAGGAACAGGTGACATTAAACTAGGCAATATTGAAAAGATTCTGTCTATTGAAATATTTTCCGATTACTTGTGTGTAGTGTGGAGGGACAGTGGAGGAAAAATATATGGACAGGCAGATTAACATGCTATACAAGAATGTAAGCAAATTAAATACACTCTGTTTCAATTTCCTAGTGATCTTTTACTTTTGACCAGCTTTGAAAATTATATAAACCAGGCTTAATTTGTTACTGTTTATCTGTTGTAATCATGAACAGAGAAAAACTGCCCTTTGCTTCCCTGTCTCTCCACCCTTGCTGTTGAGAAATAAAAGATATAAGTTGCATGTGTGCCTAATGGTGGACGCTTTTTCAAATTTAGCATTACTGCCTCTCTTGAGGATATCAAGTCAGCCTTTAGGGAGTGGATAGCTCCTTTTAATGATGTGACAATGGCTGGGGCCGGATACTGTTTGGGTCTCTTGAGGTTATATTCTTAATTCAGGCAATCCCCTCAGTTTCCTGAGCCTGAATCAGTTGCTCTGGAGTCTTACCCAATTACTTTTTTTTTTTTTTGTGGGACCCTCGCCGGTGGCCAGGGATCGAACTGGTGCTGCAGAGGCTGTGGGCAGCCTCGCAACCCAGTGCTCAACAGCTGCGCCACCAGGGGAGGCCCCTTACCCAAGTTCTTAAAGTAACAACTCCCACTTCTTAAGCAATGCCTGTTTTCCAAATGCTTCTCACATAGTGCTTCATTTAAAATTCACAATAATGTGTCATAGATACAATTATTATTTTCACTTCAGAACTAGAGAACATTGAGATCAGAGTGCTTAGGTTATTGTGTCCAAGTTTATACAGTTAGAAACTGATGGAACTAGGATATCGATCCAAGTTGATCTCACTTCAGAGCCTCCTTTTTTAACACACAAATTAGATGATCCTCTACTACACAGACTATTTGGGGACATGAATAGCCAAATGATATCTGAAAGTTTTCCAAGATCCCCTTCTGAAGGATTTGACCAGCAGCAGACAGAAGTTTGCCTCTTCTTCTCTGGCAGCCATCCCTCCTTTTCCCCTTGGCTTATCTCCTCCCATTTGGCCACCCAGTCCTCTGAAAAATCAAAAACCCTCCTTCTGACATAGTTCTGACATTGTTACTCCCATAACTGTGATTCTCCAGATTTTTAGTGCCAGTGAAATATGAAATGGAGGACTCTCTCTGGAACCTAACAGTCTATATGGCTGGCATGTTATTTTGACTAACAGCAGTGTTTACCATCTTTTGAAAGTTTCTCTAAACTATACTCACAGTGTTGTCACAACTAATATCAAGTTGGCATAAATATCATGGATTTAAGAATCTTCCTTGGTGATGTGGTGTAAATCTAAAATGGAGTATTTGTTTAGGGTCTGGAAATATCAAGCCAGGAAACATCCCTGACAGAGAAAAATCATAGAAGTAAACTCAAAAATTAAATTTTCAGGGATAAAGAAAAGAGGCACAGAGAATGGAATTCTGTCTGGTCTTTTGGCTCATGGGAAGTAATGGGATTGATCCTAGAAACTCTGAAACTGTCCTATGACATTTTCTGGTTCCTTGTTTTCTGACAAAAGCTGGATTTCTTTTTATGTCAAGCAAAGGCCAACAAAGAACTATTTGTTCCAATTCCCAGGAGGAACATAAATAAATATAAAATTACCTAGGCAATTTCATTAAAAAAAATTAGCAGATGGTTTCTTAATTAAAACTTATTATATGCAAGTAATTTTCATTGAAGATTATCAATAAAAGAAGAACCTCAAAATACAACTTTGGAGCCACGAAGGAGTACATTATAATAATTTTACTAAGATATTTGTTATTAGGGTTTGTTACTCTTGGTAGAATACAGAAACACCAATTTTGAACAATAAGCATTTTTCTGAATTAATCTCCACTCCACAGAAATTAAATGTACACCACATCTCATGAATAGGGTCACATGTCAAAAGAAAAGCATCCCATTTTTTTTAATAAGCAACCAAGAATTGATATACAATGTTATGAAATGAAGTAAATCACTTATCTTTAAGTATTTAAAATAAAAACAAATGAAACAGGCTAATAAATTAGTTTGCTTTTCTTTAATAAGCAAGTACAAAACAGTGATCCAACTTGGATATATAACCTAACACCCCAAGCTGCAGCAAGAATTTCACACCAAAGCCTACTGACCTATCAAGAGTTACTGTGTTTGCCAATTCTCTGTATAGAACAGATGGAAAACATAAAATGGTTTGCACTTCATTTCAAAATTACCATAATTTTCCTACTAAAATGTTATACTTTTTATATTTAGCCAGATATGCTGTTTCCAAGCATAAAACCAATGAAAATTTTCCTGATGTTCAGCAGTATCTTTCTTTTTCCTGATGTACCTTCAAGGCACAGAATATTAGGGCGATGAAATCATGCTAGAGAAGGTGAACTGTGAGGAAAAGTAGGAAATGCAAAAACAATTACAAAAGGGAAAGGCATACCTCTTGGGCACACCATCCACATTCTGGACCCAGAGCAAGGCACTTGGCACAGGACGCAGCGTTGGAAGATGCACATCTATTGTCTTCTGCAGTGAGAGATAAAATGCAGCACTATGGTTTAGTCTTGTATTGGGACATTTATGCAGTTCTTAACCAAAATGTATTCTAAAACTGAAGAAAGCCTATCAGTAGTTTTAAGGACATGATACCAAAGATATATAACTTGTTTGGGAAGCATTAACTTGCTCACTGTAATTAACAGATATAGTATTGCCTGTACAGTTCTATTTGGCTTTATAAAATCATGGGAAAGTGAATTAAAATATGATTTTCATTAGGTTTTGGGGGTTGGCTTGAATTCTGCTCAAAAGTAGAGGATCCTCCAAATATTTGTGTGCTTTCATTTCACTGTATTTCATATTACCTGAACCATGGAGGCGTTTTTGGATCTAGAGATTTTCCAGTAGAAATACTTATTCTTAAAGACCTTAATGACAACATGGAAACCCACATTGAATAATAGTGGATGAAAATGCTTAAAAATGACATTGATAGACATATAGAGTAATTAACTTGGGAGCTCTATGTTAATAAGATTATTGTGTTAATATTATTTTGTCATAATATATAATGACATGATTCAGGATTTTAGAATTAATGTAGTTAAAGTGAATGGTTTTAGTTAACCCAATTTCATTTCTCTGATTTCATCACTTTAAAGTGACCGACTCACTCTTCCATAGATTAAACTCTTGACTGTGACATTTGAATAACATAGTTGTGCCTGCAAACTACCTTCAGCCCTCTATCTACTAACTCTTCTATCATTAAAAAGAGGCTCATCATTATAGACTTAAACACATAAAATGTAATAAAATGAGTCTAATTATTTTACAGTGAGTTTTCAGTCACATGCTTTCTGTAGTTCATCCTTTATGAAATGTTCCAAAAACACTGGAAATCACAGCATTTTATACCCTTCTCATTCACAGGCACACAGGATATCACATAGATTTCCTGGCTGTAAGCAGCCATCAGAGAAGATTAGATTCCATATATATATATATATATATGGAAACAATGAAATACAGTGTGATGAGCACTACAAGAGAGCTGTTATGAAGGCACTATAGAAACATGGTGAGGAGCTTCTTACTCTGTTTCAGAGGGAAGAGATGGCAAGGGCAGGGAATGAGGACAGTTTTAAGGATGGTCCCCAGAGGCAATGATATCTGGTATGGCGCTTTATGATCTGCCTCATCTAATTGGTTTCTCTTTCTTTCTCTCATCTTTCCCCAACATTGTAAAATGCAGAGTTTTTTTAAAATGACTGGGGGGGCCATAGAGTGGGTGTTGTCAGTGGGAAGAGAAGGTGAGCTACTGGTACACACCAGTAAACAAAGCAGAGGGGTACCACTTGGGGTGTTTATGTACACTTCTCCTTGTATTTCCCCAGATTCCCAAAGCATCCTTCCCTAAAACCCCTTCTGTGCTCTTATCTCCCCTCCCTGCTTTGTCCCTCTGCAGCACTCTTTTTCCTGATCTTTATATCAACTTTTAAAATGCATTGTCCAAAACTTTTTCACTGATCTAGATGCACTGGCCTGGAATTTTATTCACTGATCTACAGTTTCAAGGACTAAAAATAACTAATGTTTTCAGCTCCCTTTACTACCAGTGTGGTCACCTAATGAGGAAGACTTCATAGCCTAAAAACCTTCCATCTGGCTTACCCTGCAAAACTATAAAACCTCCTTGTTCCTAAAGTATTCAAAAGAGGGAGTGACTTTTTTTTAGCTTTGTTTCGGGGAGGGGGGGTGGTTAGGTCTAGAAATCAAGCACTTTTGCAGACCTAAATTGACATTTTCCAACTTTTAAACTTAAACTTAATGGGACATGGACTTAAGTCTATTCCAAAACATATTTCACCAAAGATTTCACTCAGTAGGTGGGACTTTTGTTCTGGCAGTTAAGGTTGTAGTGTATTGGAAAGGAAGCTGCAGATTCTGTGACTCTGGTCTTTGCTTCTAGTAATTGTCTGACTCTGTCCTAGGTTAACCCAGATTCAAGTTCAAGTCAGACTCCTTCTTCCATAATACATGTGGTAAATAATGAATTAATAAGCAAAAATCTGTTTTCTTTGTAGTCTGCTTTCTGATTATTTTCTTTAAAAAGTTCTAGTGCCAACCTCTGTTCTCAAACTTCAAACACCTCCAGATGATGACTTGAGAGGGAAAGAGACTTAGGTCCTCAAAAACTCTATGGGAGTAGTGTCAAACATTATTGCTAGAGAAAGTCATGGTTAAACTTTACAGAAGACAAATCAGATACTTTTTATCTGGTTGACAGAAATTTAGGACTTTTATTTAAATTTTAAAATATTCCATTAAATACATACCTAACCTGCCACTATCACACCAATTATAGGAATTCTTATAATCATACTATTGTACTATGGCGGTTATTAGTATGTGCTAGGAATGCATGTGTTCATGTTTCTCATTTCTCTCTCTCACATTCACATATACATATACATGCATATACACATATACCCACCCTTCTGTGGGATTAGGAATTTTCCATAAACTGTTCACACATCACTGTGTGTGACTGCTGTTTACAAACACTGGCAGCTTGTCATCAGCCTTTGAGTAGTTCATTAGTCGTTCCACCCCTGATACAACATTGCAGGAAGGCTGCTCTCCAGCTGTGGTTTTCTAGAAGCCCTCAGCACTGATGCCTCATTAACACATGTGCTTGAGTTATTCTTCCTACTCTACCACAATGGGCAGCTATTTGCCCAATGCTGTGGCATTTAAGCACCTCATGCTTTATGTTCCAGTTCCTTTTATTAGGGATATTTTTTATGGATCCTAAAGGAAATTCTTATGTCAATGAAAGCAGAATGATAATATTTTAAACCACATATTCTCAGAACCCTCCTTTATGCCTGCTTGTTTTAATTCTAAGTATGTCATAAGCCCCATGTCATTAAAAACTGTACTGCCATGACAGAAGTCAGTAACACCATGTTGTCATTATGTACATTCCAAATAACTCTCTAATTTATGAGCATGGGCTAAGAGTATTACTTTTTCTCATTATGTTACAACCAAAGATAACAGATGTGATTAGGTAGCTAAATGGTTACTAGGAACAAAGTTCCAAATTTACATGGTACGTCTACTTAGCAACCATGTGCCATTAGGCCAGTTATCTAAATTTTCTGAGGGTTCATTTTGTCTGTTGCAACACAGGGTAAACTAAACCTATATTAAAATGCCGGTATGAGACTAAAGGAGCAAGCATAAGCATGCAGGCATGGTGCTCAGGGCATAGTTGACACTCAATAAAGGGAAGATTTTAATGTTATTGTAATGAGTTATGTGTATATACACATACCTATATATATATGTATATATATGCTTATAACACATATATGTATGTGTATATTCTAGCTTCAAAAATAGGTGTATGTGCCTTTAAATCTGTTGTAAATGTAAAGTGATGTCTTTAAAAGGAAAGACTCTTGAGTCACAAAGACATGCTTTATAAATACAGTTAATAGGGAGCCTCCGTGGTGACGCAAGGGGTTAAGTCTCAGCACTATGAAGCTATCAGCAGCCAATGCAACACAAGTTCTATCCCTAGCCAGGGAGCTACTCATATGGTGTAGCAGACCTCTCCTTTCTTGCCTGCTGCTCCCCTCAGCTGTATATTTCAGTCAGTCTGCCTGTTCTGTTCCCTACTGTCTCTGTGAATCCTCTCACTCCCTGCACTTCTGGCCTACATCCCAGCTCTTGAATGTGTCAATAAATAAAATAAATCTTAAAAAAATAAATGCAGCTAATAATACACTTTATAATGTATAAAAACAATGAGCAAGTAAAAAAGTTACTGCTTTTATTATAATTATTTAAAAATGATTCTTAAAAGCAGGTTTAGTGAAATACATACATCGCTCCAATCTATTACAAGTACAATTTTGCAAGCACATTTTGCAAAATGAACATTGACTTGCTCTGAATATTTTTTGGATTATAGGATTAAATATTTATGATGCATGTGAAATGACCTCTATAACTGTTTGTCATGAAGTACAATAAATATCCATCAGCAACAGTTTAGTTAACATAAAAATCAAGAATCTACAGTAGAGAGAATATAAAAGTCAGCAATTTACATGCACAATTATTTAGGTATTTGTTTTAGATGATGTACTAACTCATATTATTTTAAAAATGTGTACAAAAGTGAGAAGAAGAAGAATATGTACCAAAGCGGGAGGGACTAAAAAAGGCAATAGAAGGACCAATGTTTAGACTGGGATCTTGCCACAAGTCAACTGATCAGATCAAGTGAAAGTTTTGCAAAACATTTCTAATGTTTTTCTGCTCTAAAGTCTATAAAAACTAAGCTAAACTGATATATATGTGTATATATACACGTATATATACATACATGTATGTTTTAGTTTTGTGATATATATATCATATCTCATATATATCATATCATATATATATGTGTATATATATATATCACAAAACTAAAACTGATAAAGATTGTAGTCCTGGATATTCACAATCATTCATAGATTTTCCTGTTACTCCTAGACAGAATCATTTATGAAAATGCAGAAATGTATTTTTTCCAGGCAGTATTCCTTCCCTAATTGCATTTACTATACATATTAAATTAAAATTTGGATAATTATATAAAACTACTTCCTTTAAAAAAAACCAGCAAAATAAACACTTACAATGAGCACATATTTTACTTTGATAAATAAAACCACGCAAATAGAGCACACACAGAATAAAATTTGGCATGTGACTTCAGGATTTCCTAGATATGCATTATCATTGTCATATAAATGTAATATATCTTCAATATTCATGACTGGATTATTGAAAACTATCTTTTAGACAAATATTTAACATGCTATCATTTGATATAAAAATTAAAACAATGAAATAGTTCTAATCATTTGCAATTATTTACTTATTTCCAAGTTTTGATGAGGAACTATTTCCAAAAGGCCCTAAAAAATACAGGAATGTTGGAGGTGTTTAGGGTTACTTCTTTG